AGCTATGTATTTATTAGCTGTTTGGCACATATAAACAGACAGTAACACTGAACTACCTGGCTAGCTAGCTAGCTAGCTAGCTGTTAGTTATTATGCAGGAGAGCATTATGTTTCGTTTGTAAGATGTTTGTAAATGTATTGTTACTTCGAGGTTAGTCATATTGATGTGACAAAATAGAACTACTAAGTAAGTAGCTACTGCAACAAAAGCTAAAGTTGGAGACATGTACAGTGGCTCTATGGTCGCTCTCTAGCCCGTGGAAAAGTAAACCAGTTCATAGAAGGTTCTTGAACCAACTGACACTAGCATCAGCCCAGAACTAGCACTATGTTTTGTTGGGGGTAAGGTCCTGCTGTTTGGTGCTAAGTAGGTAGCGTTCATTAGCGCTTATCAGTTTTTTTTGGAAGGAAATAGCTGCCTGCTTCCTGGGGCTTATGACTCTGACATTACACCCGTCATTGCAGAACATGTGATTCAAACCAATGGGCCTTAAACAGCTTCCCTCCACTCTTCTTCTTCCACACTATCCGTCACATGGCCACACCGGCTTCAAGGGATTTGCTCCTATTCAGCCACAAGACATTAGCGAGCTCCGACACTGATGTTGGCTGATGAGGTCTGGCTCACAGTCAGCAGCGTTCCAGTTCAACCCCAAAGGTGTACACTGGGCTCTGTGCAGCCCAGTCGAGCTCTTCTACGGCAAACTGGGAAAAAGCATTTCTTTATGGAGCTTTCTTTGTGCACACAGACACTGCCATGTTGAAAAAGGAATGGAAACGAACTGCTGACACAAAGTCAGAAGGAATACTAGTTTCTGAATAACTCTGAATACTGTTAACCACATACATCCAATCTGTAATAATGTTTGAGAACCTCCAATATGTCTGACTTTGGATGTCATAATATTTAAAGGTCCAGTGTGTAACAGTGAGAAGGATCGATTGGCAGAAATGGAATATAATATTCATAGGTATGTTTTCACTAGTGTATAATCACCGGAATATAAGAATCATTGTGCTTTCGTTACCTTAAAATGAGCCGCCTTTATCTACAGAGGGAGCAGCCTTCCATGGAGTCCGCCATGTTGAACTACCATGTTTCTACAGCAGCCGAGAAGGGACAAACCAAACACTGGCTCCAGATAGGAACGTTTGTGTTTTTCGCAGCTGTTTCTCCTATGTATTTGAAAGGGGAGGGTGAAGCAAGGGAGTTGTGATCTGCAACTACACTGCTAGATAAATCCTACACACTGGACCTTTAAGTACCTAAAAATGCAAACAAATATGGACATGTCGCAAAGGCCAAAGTCTAGCTTTAAAGGATACAGTGCTATATTGTCAGTATTTGTAACTGTCACACAACTAACTCTGCAGTCCTACAGCTGTTTTCACTTGTCATAAACAATAGGGTGCCCAAGTGTCCCATTTTATGTGGGACTGCACAGCATTTGTATCCCCACATATATTCCCACATAGACACAGAGTCCCTCATTTTATTGTTTTTCAAAAATCAAACCTGCAGGGCAGACACTTTTCCAAATCCTGGCTTTCATCCAAAGCAGAGAAGGCTGTCATCTCGGGGCTGTTTGATGTCAATCAAACTATGCACAAGTAGGTCAAGTGGAGGTTACCCTGTCACCGTTTTGCTACGCTATGCCCAACGGGAAAACTGAGTCTCCACAAAGTCACCAGCTATGCAGACTCAGTTGGCATATAATGGAAAGTTCCACATAGAAAAGGAAATGCAGCTACAGCAGAGATAACTGGTGGAAAGCGACTATTGCGTAAATCCTTACCAAATACTACAATTGAACTTCCTTTTATGCTTACTGGATTTAATGTATTTAGCATGGGAGTTTGGCAAGAACCAGCAAAAAACACCAAAACAATCAAGGTTAGCACCACACAGGCCTGCTTGTGGTTCCGCTGTTGTATCTGAACGCACAATAATGGGAAATATATGATAGGCTTTATGTTAAAAAAAAATATCACATTGCAATTATTTGGACAAATATTAGGTTTGTGATATGACATTGGAGGATAGTAGGGCAGAGCACCTCTGCAGCCCTACAGTACTTTATTATAATGCTGTTCTATGACACTTCTGCAATTTGGATATTGCACTTGATTCCGATAATATTTCAATTAATTGTGCAGCCCTAGTTAACAAAAGTGATGTCACTTAGATTTGTTCAGACCTATGGAATATTAAATCATCCATTTTGCTCATTATGTCTCAGCCTCTCCTACCCTCAGGTATGCATAAACTACAAAACATATTTTTAAAATCTGAAAAATAAAATGATCACTTATCTTATCAGCATGGGCCATGAGAAGCAGCTAATTAAATCCCTAAGGTTTTATGCAACAGCTGCAACATAGTGGCCATGCTCTGTCTGTATGTTCCTGTGGTTTGCTCCACTGTTTTTTTGCATTCCGACCTTTTTGACAGCAGCCATTTTGACTATGAATAGTAACGGGGTAAACCAGGTGTTGATAGCCAGAGCCTTCCCATTCCCATACTCTGTTTGACCCCAAACTAATTGGTAGTCATCGGTTGGGCTCTGTGAAAAAGGTCTACTTGACTTACAGTTATTAAATATTTTTAATCAATTTAGGTGGTTCACTGAGTGGAAAACTAGGTCTCTAGAACTGCTCCAGGTTTTCCAGGATCGTGTGGGAACCCTGCACCTTTGTAAAAGTTATGATGTTCAGTTCTTTGTTAACTGTTATTTTACCTACGTCATTTACCCCAATATAACAACAATAAAGTCTCAAGCCCGGAGCACAAACTTACCACCGATCCTTTCATAAATGGGAGGATTTTACTGCAGGACTGTCACATTTGACTGCATTAGCTTCAGCTATACGTCGACCTAACAACCTGAGTTTTACACTTGCCTTCAAAACGCTGCATGTTTATGTTTGCCTGTGTTGTGTCAACATTATTTGCAGTATGCAGTATCCAGTATCAGTGATCTCTCTCACAGTGGACCTTATCAGCAGCATCAGAGCATGTCTGTGCTGTATGTTTACCCTGCAAATATCAACTGTCCCTTCCCTTCCCTTCCCTCCAACAACCCCCAAATCAGCACCCACTGGGTGATCTGAGGCTAACTTCTACCATTAACGTTAAGCTGGACACACAACTGCACCACTGTATAAGGTTGAGAGTGCACTGTAGCCTGGTACCACGCCTGTTTGTCCAACTTATCTAAGGGTCTCCAACTGAGTCTACATGAACCTCTCATTGCTGTGTCAACAGTCGAAGCTGAGGAAATATAACGTTACACGCAGCTATGGTTCTTTGGCTTCTTGGCGCTCACAGGTCTATTATGGAGGATGAACTGTTGACCCTTCAGTGTCGGTAACGCGATAGAATAAAAATAGAAAGTGTCTCTATTACTGCTCAGCACCAAACTGTCGGACAGGAGCGTTCGTTGGTACAACAGGAAGACCCTACATTGTTATTCACCATTACTGCTACATGATAGCGACATACAACACTTACCCTGCTGTTTCTCTCTATACGCTGCCTGTTGAAACAACAGCTAGCCCAGGTGTGAGTCGCTCACTCGGTCACATCGCTGTTTTCACGGTGAGACGCTCTGAGGCTGCCTGCAACACACAAAGCAGGATGTGCAATACTCTGGGAGACCTTCCGCTTCCCCGTGCGGCGACTTCCAGCAGAACCACATTGACAAATAGTTCCATTTTAAATTTCCATCGGTATTAACGATAATATATGTATAGTTTAATAGAAGCTGATGGACAATAGGACTTATTGCGTGTTGGTATTACATTCGGCAACATCATGATTCATCGTACACATTTTAGTAAGTGTATTTACACATTTAGTGTTAGTTCCCTCTGCTGTTGCCCTACTCGCCAACAACATCAAGGTCACACTAAATAGGTACATTTTCAAATGGAGTTCGGTATTACTCCATTTAATTCTCTATATAGTAGACAGTTTTAACAGAAGTCCACGGCAAAACACATGTATATGCGTACGGCACAATATTTCCATCTGCTTACGTTATATGTGCATAGTAAAATGTCATCGGGTTGGTAAAGTGTAGTTTTCCAAGGCACGTGAACGCAGCGTGGTCTATCACGTGACTGACATCAGCTGACCAGCAGGCGGAACCGAATGAAAACATGGTGGTTTTACTGAGCAGGTTAGCTGTCACAGACTGTCTGAAAGTAAGTACCGAGCGTTGTGTTCGTGTTTAATGAGGCTAATGGAGCTGCTTTACACTGAGAGCTTACCTCACTGTTTCCGCCTTCTCTGGGTCACACAGTCAGTCACACAGTCAGTCAGTCATTTAGCCGCAGAAAATAGCACCTTTGTAGGAGTCTGTTCTCTCTTGCTCACCAGGGCGGTAGTGAAAATGATGGGTCATGTGTTTTAGAGACCAGCTCCTAACCTCTCTCTACCTCTCTCTACCTCTCTCTACCTCTCACATGCAGTGCTATGCATCCATCTAACGTTAGATAGTTTTGCTGTGAGTTGCTGACTTTTGGAGATATCGGCCATACAGATGTCTGCCTTCTCTCCAATATATAATGGAAGCAGATGGCACTCAGCTTGTGGTGCTCAACGGCCAAACAAACACATTTGAGAATACATTATATGAAATACCTAAATGGACAAAAACCATCTTTTGGAAAGATGGATTTGACGTGTACTCTTTTAGTTTGGCCCATCTGCTAACATGTTGGCACTGGGGTTATGACCTATACTGCAGTCAGCCACCAGGGGGCGATTGAGATGTTCTGTCAGGTTGTCCATCTTTATGCCTATGGCATCACTGCACAGATTAATTTGGTGATCATTTTCTCGATAATTTGATTAGTTGCTTGGTCCAGAACATGGTGAAATGTTCACAGAAACTAGTCACATTTGAGAAGTAAGTGTTTTTGTTTTGTTTTAATGACTTGGTGATTTATAGTTGACAACCAATGGAATAATTGTTGCAGCTCTAATCCACATCTTGTGTATTTTTTCATAATACCAAATGCCAAGTTAAAATCCTGACAGTTCTTTCTGCTGTGTAGCTGTGTCACAAGGTGGTGGATGGACTGTGTGGGCGGGAGCCTCCTCGCAGGGGGGATTACAGCTCCACCTGGAGCCTGGAGGAGTGGCTGGAGCTCCTCAACTCCCTGACAGCCCTCTTCAGCCTGGCGGTGGGGGGCAACAGCTCTGATGAGGAGGTGAGACACACAGCAACAACAGGTTGAGGTTGTAGTCGTAGTAGGGGTAGAAGAAAGTATGGATATGTTTTAGCATCGTGATCTTTTAGATTTTTAATTAAGATTTTACAAGCAAAGATTTGTGCCAGTGTTTGTCTTATTTGAGCTGAGAAATTAAAAACTGGCATAGCAACATAGATTTCCTAAAATTAGATAATAAAAATCAAGATATAATGCCTTCCTTACAGCAATATATTGAATCCTAACTAAGATTATTTCCAATATACAGCCCAGAGTCATAGAAAAGAAAGAAGGAAGAGAAAGTTCCCTTTATTAACAAGATTGTTGCATCTTGTGTCCAGACTAGAGCAGCAATTGGCTGCTCTCAGGTCAGATTCTCATGTCTCCTCCCTCTGGTGGTGTACAGGTGCTGGCTGGGCTGTCAGGTGTGGGCAGCAGTCATGCGGAGGCTGTGCTGAGCGTGCTAAGAGTGAGACGGGAGGAGATCCGCCGTGCCCTGCTGGACCGAACCAACTCCATCTCTTCTGCTACTCTGCAGGACTTTGACTGGCAGCTTAAGGTGACTTCATGCTTTGTTCTTCAGCATTTTCACTGGCTAGTTTACTCATAATTTCTAATGTGTTTTAATGCAAATGACATAAATAGATTAGCATTGTATCTTAAAGCTGCAGTACTTTTTATAAACTCTCACTACATCCTGACAGTAGAATATGAGACAGTTAATCTGTGAAAAAATCAGGTTCCTCTGGCTCCTCCTAGTGCATTGTAATGGCATTTGTAAGAACCTACTGGGTCTGAACAAAAACAACCAATCAGAGCAGAGAAAGATGGGTGGTTGTTGAGTCCCATTCCCAGGGTGTCAAATACAGATGCTTTGGGACCCTGGGAATGAGAGTCAACAATAAGCTACCTTCAAGCCTCCAACCAAAAATGTCTTTCTATCTTTCTCGGCTCTGATTGGTTGTTTTTGTCCCTTGCAAATACATTTAGGAGCACTGGGAGGAGCCAGAGGAGAGAAGTAAACACAGGTATTGTGAAACACTGTCTCCAGCTGTGTGTAAATTTCACCTCTTCTGTTTCCTGTTCCTGTCTCCCGTCCTCTCCCCGCAGTTGGCTCTGTCCAGCGATAAGATCTCGTCTCTCCACACTCCTCTGCTCAGTCTCAGTCTGGACGTCAGAGAGAACAGAGCCCTTCGGTCTGTCACCATGGAGATGAACAGAGAGGAGTTAAACACGCTCATCAGTTCACTAGAGGCTGCTAATAAGGTAGACACACACACTAAATACTGTGTGTGTGTGTGTGTGTGTGTGAGGATTGGGTCTGGGATGGAACCAGTGGTGCAGTGATTTGAACTCCAGCAATATGACTAATGGCTAATGTGAATTTGAGTGCTGAGTGTGTGTGAATGAAATAAATAAAAGTGATGCTACCTGTTTAAATAGACCTTTTTCAGCCATTTTGTGATTAAATAGTAGGGTAAACACAGGTGTTGCCAGTGATACTAATTAAGGTTCCATTCCATTTAGTGTATCAGAGCCCTTCCTGACCTAAGTGGAACGGAACCTTAATTAGTATGACTGGTAACACCTGTGTTTACCCGACTATTTCATGTAAAAATGGCTGCTGTGAAAAAGGTGTACTAGTTGTAGTTACTTGATCAGTAGAGTTATTAATATTAAATGGTAAATGGATCCGTACTGTATACTCCTTTTTTAGTCTTCCCGACGCAACTCAAAGCCGCTTTTACACTACAGACCCACATTCCCACCCTTTCACCACACATTCAACCCACAGTGATGCACAGTGTATCTTGCTCATAAATACTTCGACATGTGGCGAGAGGAGCTGGGGAATCGAACCAACAACCTCTGAGCCACTCTTCCTCTGAGCCACAGCCGCCCTTAAAATACTAACATTTTAAAATAATGTTTTGTGGATAAACTTTAAAGAAATTAATATTGTTTGTTTTCCGTAGCTGATACAAGTGAGTAAAAAGAATAGGCTAATCTACTAATTTAGCATAGCACTCCTGTAACATTTCCCAACTCACAACAGACATTTTTTTAAACAAATCTAGGTGGCAGAATATATAAATAACATCTTTTCATTCCACACATTCTCCCTCCATGTCAAAACCCGGAGCACACATTACCCACAATGCCGCCAGTTCAGTCTAATGCAGCGTGTAGCCTCAAGCAGAGATGTAAACTCACTTCTTTCTGACACCGTTTCTGAACTCCGGATTGAGTGTGAGAAATTAGTGTACACACACACATACTAGGCTCCACACCCCCTGCTTTTCACATTTTCAAACAAATAGTCTTCAGACCCAACTAACATCGCTTGAGGACATTTACTTCTGATAACGTCACACAGCTCTGTCTGGAGCCACAACGTGCTTTATAGCCTACAACTTTTTTTACGCTATAATGCAATAAGTTAATTTAACAAAAAAAAAAATGTTGAAACTGATTACATCAGAAGTTTTACATTTTAATTTAACACAAACTCAATTTTGAAAGTTTAAAAAGATGATGAAGCAGCTCTTACTCTTAATTTTACGTGACACTAACTACAGAAACATTACGTTAAGTATTTATTACAAGATACATTGTTTTCACAGTACAAATAAAAATTACAAAAACAAGTTAGTGTCACATTAAATTACTAAGGCTAGGTGAAGAATGTTTATTATTTTTTAACTTGCAGAAGTGCTCTCCAACACCTGGAAACACACGTATGTAAAATGGGTGTAGTTTACCTTTAAGGTAAAATCATGTGTTCTTAGAACCTTTTCTGCTATTTCCCTTTTGTGGCTTTTTATAGACTAAATAATGAACTGAAAAAAATAATGCAGGCCATCATTTTAAATACAAATGAATGAAATCAGTCAAATGAGTCCTGGTAAACTCCTGCAACACTGTGTGAGATTAAGTGACACTGCAAGGGGCCCTGAACCCAAGGTTGAGAAAAACTCTGGGTCAGACTAAAACAGTTTAGGCTGACTCTACTGACAGTTTATTAGTGTTAATTTTGTGTTTAAAGAAACACTGCGTTTGTTAAACACTGCCACTATATATTCCACAGTGAGGGAGGCTGAACACTAGGTGGTGGCATTGGTACAGTACACAGCCACAGCTCTCCAGTATAATAGAGGCATACACTTGTCATCACTAACATGACTGTCCGGATGCCAAAAAAGCTTCACATTAAGGTACTGTGTTAAAAAAAAAAAACATACACACTCATCTCTGTATGAAGACACTGAACTCAAAAGCAGCTCCCACAGTAGTTGGAGTATGATTGACAGTTTTTTATTATTGTTCTGTAACAAGCAGAAAGAAACTGTTCAGTGTCCAGCTCTTTTAAAAAATTACTTTTTTACTTTAACAGTATATTTCGGGGGCACGAAACCAAAACAATGACA